TAAATACTTTAGTCCACGGCCTCCCTGGTGGAGCAAGGGGTTAAGTCGCACCACTATGAAGCTATTGGCAGCCACTGCAGGAGCTAACCCACATGGCACAGCAGACCTCTCCTGTCTCACCCTCTGCTCCCCTCAGCAGTGCATTTCAGTCATTCTGCCTGTTCTGTTCCCCACTCTGTCTCTGGTGAATCCTCTCACCCCTATACCTCTGGTACCCCAGTTCTTATATGCAAAAATAAATCTTTTAAAAAATACTGCAGTCCACTTTCTTTTTTCTTGCATGGTTTCTAAAGACAAGTTGGGTATAATTCTTATCTTTGTTCCTCTATAGGTAAGGCATTTCCCTCTTACCTATAGAGTAAGGTTTCTTTCAGGATTTCTTTTTTTATCTTTGATTTTCTGTATTTTTAAAAATCTTATGCCTAGGTGTGGGTGGAGGGACAGGACATTTTTCCTGCTCATTGTTTTTTCAGCATCCTGTATGTATGGTTTGATGGGCATAGAAGAACTGTGATACAAGTGTGAAGTTCACAATCCAAAGGTATAAGTTCAATAAAAGACTGAGACCTAATAATATGATTGTAGAATGCTTCCCCTCCCCCACATCTCACCAATGTATTACTAAAGGTCAGCATTAATATTCTCCCAAACATTAATTTGGGAGAAATTGTTAATCATTATTGTTTCAAATATTTCTTCTTTTTCTTTGTCTCTTTTCCTTCATTTTCCTTCTGTACTTTTCACACACATAATTTTACACCTTACTTTGTAGTTATCCCACAATCCTTGGAATTTTTTTTCCAGTGTTTTTTTCTCTGTGGTTTTTGGTTTGACAGTTCCAAATCAGCTATCCTCAAGTTCAGAGATTCTTTCCTCAGTTCTACCCAGTCTACTAATATCCAGGCTACTAACAAGCCCCTTTAAGGCATTCTTCCTTTCTCATGCAATTTTAATCTATAGCATTTCTTTTTGGTTCTGTATTAGAACTTCCATCTCAGTGCTTACATTGTCCATTTGTTCTTAAATGCTATCTGCTTTATCCATTGGACCCCTTCACATCTTAATCATAGTTGTTTAGTCTGGTTCTGATCCTTGTACTGTCTCTTCAAGCTGTGATTTTTGCCATTCTGTGTATCTTCCAATTTTTTCTTGATAGAAAGACATTATGTATTGGGTACAAGTTGCTGCTGACCTTTAGTAATATGTTGGTGAGATGTGGGGGAGGGGGGAACATTCTACAATTATATTATTAGGTCTCAGTCTTTTATTGAACTTGTACCTTTGGATTGTGAACTTCATACCTGTATCTCAGTTCTTCCTCTATGCCCATTTGATGGAATAGGATGGCTAGAGTAGGCTGGAATTGGTGCTGCCCTTCTAGGTCAGTTAATCTCTGATAAAACTGCAATAGGGGCAACATCTCTTTTCCACCTGAGATCATGCAGGTGTTTCTTCTCCAACCTCCTCCCATTGCAAAGCTACAGAGGCAGCTCTCCTCCCAAGACTGCCCACCTGTGACAAACCTGTCCCTTTCAGGGGTAGCTTTTCTGCCCTCTTGTGTCTGTGCCAGCAACCTTTATTTCCCTTCCCTTTTTATAATAAACCTGCCCTTTTGAATATAAAAACAAAAAACTTGAGGGCCTCCCCGGTGGTGCAGCGGTTGAGCGCTGGGTTGCAAAGCTGCCCGCGGCCTCTGCAGCGCCGGTTCGATCCCCGGCTGCTCCCTGGCCACCTGAGGAGGGTCCCACATGGCGCGCAAACCTCTCCTGCCGCCCGCTGCTCCCCTCAGCAGTGTACTTCGCTCCTTCTGCCTGCTCTGCTCCCCGCTCTGGCTCTGGTGAGTTCTCTCACCCTCCCGCGCTTCTGACTGTACCCAGTGCATGTATAAACAAAACAAACGAACAAACAAACAAACAAATAAATAAATAAATAAAAACATGCCTCTATTAAAAAAAAAAAAAAAAAACTTGAATAGGTTAGACTCAGCTTCCCTAGTTTCTCCTGAGCTTTTACTAAGAACAGAATGCTCTGGTAGCTCTCCTGGGCTCCTCTTTCTATGCAGGTAGCTCTTAAACCTACTCCTTTAAAAAGTGCACCTCTTTCTGTCCGCTTGTATCTGTGCAAGCATCCTTTTCTTTCCTTTCTTTTTTATATAATAAATGTGCCCGTTTGGATTTAAAAAAAAAAAAAAAAAAAAGACCAGGATGCCCTGGCTTATTTCAAATGGTTCCTTTTCCCTTCCACTCCTTGGAAACAGGGAGGTTTTTTTTTCCCCCATACACAACATGAGAATCTGGTCAAGATCCTGGTGATTGGGTCCCCCTGGAGTTTATAATCTGATAGACTTGTCAGTGCTGAGTCTCCAGCACTTTGTACAAGTTCAGGTTTCCCTACCTCTGTCTTGGTTCTCATTGAGGTTTTTGTTTGTGGTTTTCTGCTCTAGCAAGTTGTGATTTTTTTGTTTCTTCCTGTTAGTCTTTCCAGTTTTATTTATTTATTTAAATAACATAGGAGAGTTCTTTTTTTAAATTTTTTTTTTTTAAGATTTATTTATTTAGGGCCTCCCTGGTGGCGAAAGGGGTTAAGCACCGCGCTATGAAACAATTCGCAGCCTCTGCAGCATGAGTTCGATCCCTGGCCAGCCAAGGAGCAACCCACATGGCACAGCAGACCTCTCCTGTTCGCCCACTGCTCCCCTCAGCAGTGTATTTCTGCCCATTCTGTTCCCCACTCTGTCTTTAGTGAATCCTCTCACCCCCCACCCCCCTGTATCTCTGGCCTGTACCCGAGCTCTTGTATGTATAATCTTTTTTAAAAAAGATTTATTTATTTATACATACAAGAGCTGGGGTACAGCCAGAGTTGTGAGGGGTGAAGATTCACCAGAAACAGAGTGGGGAACAGAACAGGTGGGTTGACTGAAATACACTGCTGAAGGGGAGCAGCGGGCAAGTAAGGAGAGGTCTGCTGCACTTGTGGATCAGCTCCCTGGCCTGGGATCAAACCCATACCAGCTGAGACTTTAACCGCTGTGCCAACCAGGGAACTCCTAATTGGTTCATTTTTATGTCTTCCCTCTAGCACCATGTACATGTTTTGTTATGGAGCATATTTCTCAACTGCTTTAATGTCCTCATCAGCTAAGTCTGTCATCTCTTTCCTATTTGTTGGTCTGTTTCTAATGAGTGGTTTTTATCCTGATTGTGAACCATATTTTCCTGCTCTTAATGTCATAATATTTGACTGGATCTAGGACATTACAAATCTTATGTTTTGGGATATTTTGTTGTTTTCCTTCAAATGTGTTGGACTTTGCTTGACGTAGTTACTTGGGATCAACAGAATTTATCCTTTTGTGTCTTGCTTTTAAACATGCAAAACAACCTCTAGCTCCATTACTAGTCACTAGCCTTTACAGGACTTTACTAGATGCCCTGTTTATTAAGAAGGACTGTATTCTTTGGCTAGTAGGATCACAAAACTAGTTCCGGCTTAGGACTGCAGGAATTGTTCAGCCTACTGCTTTCTGGGGGTTCTTTCCCTAGCCTCATGGAATTCTACCACACATGTGCAGATTGTTATTCTGCAAAATATTCCTAGGAGCTCTTCCATGGAGGCCCAGAATTCTCTCTTTATATAATGCCTTCCTCACTTGTGTTTTGCTTTTTATTATTTTAAAATATTTATTGTTTTTTATTAATGCATTCAACAACTGGGGGTTGCCAGAGGTGTGGGGGGCAGTGAGAGGATTCACCAGAGACAGAGTGGGGAGCGAAACAGGCGGATCTACTGACATACACTGCTGAGGGGAGTAGTGGGCAAGACAGGAGAGATCTGCTGCGCTGTTTGGGTCGACCTCCCTGGCTAGGTATTGAACTCATGCTGCAGTGGCTGCTGACAGCTTCATAGTGCTGAGACTGAACCCCTTATACCACCAGGGAGGCCCTATTTTGCTTTTTAAATTCTTGCTGCTACAGCCTCCTGAACTCTCCATCCTCTTAAGTCATGAATTCAATAAGATTGTTGGACTGAGTTTCCTTTCCCTGCATTGCAGTTTGGAAATTTCCTTCAGGCAGTATGCTCTAGCAGTTGTATGGTTCACCTTCTTTGTTTTTCTCTGAGATTATAGCTCTTCGCTGCAGTTGTCCAGTGTCTGCAAAAAGATGCTTCATATATTGTGTCCAGTTTTTCGGTTGTTTATGGTAGGGCAATTTCCATAGTAGTTAATACTACACAGGCAGAAGCAGAAGTCCTGCATAAATTTTATACTTTGTAAAGTTTTTAGAATAATTAGAAGGAATAAATTCTCTTCTTTTACCTTTTCACTGGTTTGCTCCATCTTCTCCCACGCATGCTATTATGAATTTGTATGTACTGTAGAATAAGTTAATTTCATGTTCTGTTGAAAGTACTGCAGTACATATCCTTAACTAACCTATCAGAAGATAGAGTCATGGTGTAATTTTTCTCAGCATGGTGTATGGGAGTTGTTGATAAAAATGTTTTTTATTGTTATTAACTAATTTCTGTTCTAAAGAATTTTTTTTAAATATTTATTTATTTATTTATACAAGAAGCGGGGTACAGGCCAGAAGTGCGGGAGGGTGAGAGGATTCACCAGAGACAGAGTAAGGAGCAGAATAGGCAGACTGTCTGAAGTACACTGCTGAGAGGAGAAGCGGACAAGACAGGTGAGGTCTGCTTCACCATGTGGGTTGCTCCCTGTCCAGCTGGGGAGCAAACTTGTGCTGCAAAGTCTGCCGATTGCTTCATAGTGGGACGCTTAATGCCTTGTGCCACCAGGGAGGCCCAGTTTTTTTAAATTACTTTGTGCTTATTTTCCTTGAGTAGATTGGTCTTTGTCTAAATACTTTATACACAATTCTTTGTCATTTAATATTTGTTTGATACTGTTCTCATCTTTGCATATGACTGATGTTTACTTTAAAAATAGAACCATATAAACAGTGTTTTACTTTTGTGATTTTTATTTCTCCTAGGTGGTATAGCTGTATGCTGGGAAAGAAATGCAGCCTGGCTCCTCTGAAGGAAGAACTTCGTGTACAAGGGGTAAGGCCATCATTACTATTCTGATGTACTACTTTTTTTTTTTTCCAAAGATTGATTTATTCATGCACACGAGAGCTGGGGTACAGACCAGAGATGCAAGGGAGGGGTGTAAGAGGATCCACCAGAGACAGAGTGGGGAACAGAATAGGCAGACTGACTAAAACACAGCCGAGGGAAGTAGCGGACAAGACAGGAGAGGTCTGTTTGGCCATGTGGGTTGCTCCCTGGCCGGCCGGGGATCGAACTTGTGCTGCAGAGACTTCGGATTGTTTCACAGTGAGGTGCTTAACCCTGTGTGCTACCAGGGAGGCCCCTGATATACTACTTTTGCTGCTGGTTGGAGCAAAAAATTTTCTTTTATACACGAAAACTGTTTTATTTTTACTTGTTTACTTTTGTGATTTTAAAATTAAAAGGTTGAAAAAAAAATTAAATTAAATTAAAAGGTTGGGCCTCCCTGGTGGCGCAAGGGGCTAAGCACCGCACTATGAAGCAATCTGCAGCCTCTGTAGCACGAGTTCGATCCCCGACTGGCCAGGAAGCAGCCCACATGGCACAGCAGACCTCTTTTGTCTTGCCTGCTCCTCCCCTCAGCAGTGTATTTCAGTGGATCTGCCTGTTCTGTTCCCCACTCTGTCTCTGGTGAATCCTTTCACCCCCACATCTCTGGCCTGTCCCCCAGCTCTTGTATGTATAAATAAATCTTTAAAAAAAAATTAAAAGCGGCCCTCCCCGGTGGCGCAGAGGTTGAAAGCTGGGTTGTGAGGCTGCCCGCTGCCTCTGCGCTGCCGGTTCGATCCCCGGCTGCTCCCCAGCCACCGGAGGAGGGTCCCACATGGCGCGCGGACCTCTCCTGCCGCCTGCTGCTCCCCTCAGCGGTGTGCGTCGGTCCTTCTGCCTGCTCTGCTCCCCGCTCTGGCTCTGGTGAATTCTCTCACCCTCCCGTGCTTCTGACTGTGCCCAGTGCTTGTATAAATAAATAAATAAATCTAAAAAAAAATTAAAAGGGACTTTTAATAAAAAATTGTTAGAGGGCCTCCCCGGTGGCACAGCGGTTTAGCGCTGGGTTGCGAAGCTGCCCGCGGCCTCTGCGGCGCCAGTTCGATCCCCGGCTGCTCCCCGGCCACCGGAGGAGGATCCCACATGGTGCGCAGACCTCTCCTGCCACCCACTGCTCCCCTCAGCAGTGTACTTCAGTCCTTCTGCCTGCTCTGCTCCCCACTCTGGCTCTGGTGAATTCTCTCACCCTCCCGCGCTTCTGACTGTACCCAGTGCATGTATAAACAAAACAAACAAACAAACAAACATAATAAATAAATAAAAACATGCCTCTATAAAAAAAAAACTATTAAAAAAATTGTTAGATTTATCATTGACAATTATTATAGAATAGACAGGAAAATCAAGATTAGAATACCAGAGAAACAACCAGAAATCAAAAACCTGGTGTCTGCCTACCACTGACCCCACATCTGACTCCTTTGGAATTATAGAAACTAAAGGCAACCTAAATTAAGGGGACTTGTTCCACATCACAAATCTTAGTTTTCAAAGAACATCTAGAATCAGAGGATAACTTAAGTCTAGTGTACTTCCTGCTATGGTGACTGTGTACATGGGTTCTGCAACTTTCTTCTATTTTTAAAAGCAGGTGGCAAATAATTTCTTCCCCCCATCCCTCTTCCAGTTTATTTTTTGGTATGAAGAAGTTATGAGTAGGAGGACTTTTCAGGGAAACTGATTAGATGTGCATTCAGTGGTAGAAGTCAGGTTCCTGATTTCTCTTTTTCTCCTGTTTTTCTCTTTAACACCTTTTCTTTGTTAAAATTATAATAGCTACAGAGTAGTTTCATTTTCTTTCCTAAAATTTGATAGAAGGGAGTGTACATAGCTGTGTTTAGCCAGTCATGGTGGTCCTCTTTCTTAAAAAAAAAGAAAGATAACAAAAAAAACCCCTCTTAAATCATTTTACCAATTATTCTCTGAAGACCTGTTTTTTTGTTTTCACTTTGGTTTGATTTCGGTTTTTTTATATTTCAGTCTTTAAGCCAGAACTGGAAATTCCCCCCAATGATTTATGAAAAAAATAAAATAAAATAGCCTTCTTGGGAAATAATTTATTCATTGATTATTACATAGCTATGCATTACTGGTTTTGGATAGTAATATTTGTTAACTCATAAAAAGAGAGACCAGTATATAATTTAATATGAGGCATCAGCCTGAAACATACTGGTAGAATGATTTCAAATAGATGAAATGCTGTGTTTATTTGTTTCAGGTTCCTAAAGTCACATACACTGAATTCTGTCAAGGTCGGACAATGAGATGGGCTTTAGCTTGGAGTTTTTATGATGATGTAACAGTACCAGTAAGTAGAGAATTTGCTTCAGCTTCTCTAAATGCTAACACATGGTGGGTTTTAATAGGTCATAAATGATCTAAATGTGTACTGTTCTGTTTCCCTGGAGTTTGCCTCAAATGCTTATGTCAAAATGGAATGTGGTGGTTTTCTAGTTTGTTGTTTTTGTTATTTAGATGGTATATATTAATAATATAGCATTAATGGCCAAATATTCTGATTAACAAATAGTTGATCTAAAGCCCTCAAATTGAAACAAAAACACTTCTCCCAAATCATTTTTAATGATTAAAAATCATTTTTTTAATTTATAGCTTTGAAGCATTTTATTAAAAAGTTGAAACACACAAACTAATAATAAAATTCATCATATATTTACTTCATTTTTTAGCTTGACCTTCTAGTAAACCTGCTAGTGTCATTGATTTTGACTGCTATATAAGGAGATTCTCCCTTATCTGGGTGATTTAAAAGCATAATTTGTAGATGAGCATCTCTTACTTTTCCTTTATTGGCAATAGGGCTTATGCCTAGAATTAATACTGCTTCATGTTTTGTTATTTTGTTTTCAAATCCACCTCTGTAATAGCCACCACTGAAAGCAAATTTTGGTAGACTTTGGGAAACATAACTGTCTGCAAATCCTGTGGCAGCAGTGGTCAGTCCAACTGCTGCCACTGTAGTGGCCATGGCTGTGGCTCAGCTCCCCTCCCTCCACCAAGAGCACAGTTCACCCCAGTCCAGAGACCATGGCCGCCAGACTGACCTCTACTAAAAAGTGACCTGGCCACCTGGAACATGATTTTAAGTAAGTCTTGGAAAGCTGACTTTGGTGACCATGGGCCTTTCTTTGTGGGTTTGAGTAACAATGATTGTTGCTAAGCAAACATCAATGAATTGGAAATCAGTCAACTAGGAATTAAAAATTTAGGTGGTTTATCCCCTTGCATCGCCTTGTGGGTATAATTATTCTGTTGGATATTCCTCAAGAATTAAAATTAAAGGCTGTTTATTTTCCTTTAACCACTGCTGCTTCCCTATAGTAGCTGTCTCCTGGGGGAACATAGAAATGGGTGCAAACTTTTGATGTATAACACTTAGGGATTATTCAAATGAAGGTTTCTATCTTAGCTTTAAGGTTAACGCTAGGATATTGATTAGTTTTGAAGCTGGGCAATAGGTCATTATCCTCGTCTCATATTCTTGAGCCTAAGCACTTTCTATTTAGAACTCTTAAAAAAATTATATGTTCTACAAAATTCTGTTTGCCCTCTCTGCTGCTGTATATCAAGTTAAAAATACTTCTGAACTAGTTAGATTGAATAATTTGTCTGGATTGTACTGAGAGGTGGTAATAGAATTATAGCATTAGTTATATATATTAGTTATATTATATTGCATTAGTTCCTTGCAAGAGTGATTGACTTACTAGTTACCTATAGCCTTCTACTTTAGGTTTATGCACACATTGCCCTGTATATATTCCCTCCTTTGATTTTTTTTTTTTTTTAAGATTTATTTATGCATACAAGAGCTGGGGCACAGGACAGAGGTGTGGGGGGTGAGAGGACTCACCAGACACAGAGCAGGGAATAGAACAGGCAGACTCACCGAAACACACCACTGAGGGGAGCAGTGGGCGAGCCAGGAGAGTTCTGCTGCGCCATGTGAGTCACTCCCTGGCCAGCTGGAGATCGAACCCGTGCTGCAGAGGCTGCAGACCACCCCACAGGTTGCATCCTAACCCCTTGCACCATCAGGGATGCCCCTCCCTCCTTTGATATTTGTGAAAACCTAGTACTGGTCCTTCAGGTCTCTAATCCCTTGTCTATATAGTAGACTTGTATTGGATGTGCCTATCCCAGGATTTTGGCCTCACTTGGTCTCTGAAGTCATCTTAAATATTGGCGTGGCTATGAGCCACTTTCCCTTTTCTCACAGAGCAGAAATGTACAAATTGTAGCTATTTCTGAAGACACAAGCTCAAATCTGAAACTGAGCCTGTCTTTCCAGTACTTTGCAATTAGGCATGCTGCTGTGTTAAAATAAGTTTCCCAGTCAAGTTTGAAAGACCTTGTCTTGGAAGCCTAGATTTGCCCCTTTACAATTAAGTAGACTATCTAGAGGTTAGTATTTGAAATACTCATTGGTTAAAATGCTGCTTCTGCTTTTTAGACTTCCCTGAAGAATTATCCTTCTGTTGTCTTCTAGGATGCCCAGACTTTCACAACAATTTGTTAAAATCATTAGTAATATCTTAGATTGTCCCTATGCAGACACTAATAGCTGCAGGAAAGTGGAACTGCATCTGTTTTCAAATGCACTCTGTTTCACTTGCCTCCCACATTTGTTGGCACCACAGGTGGAAGAGCTGACAATGAGCTCTGGCACTCTCCACATCATCTCAAAGACCATAGTCACCATGACCCTCTTGGGATTGCTATTTAAGATCAAACATCAAAGAGCCCTGTGTTTCTGTGTTAGCAAAATCAGCTTATTTCTAAGCCTTCCAGCCTCCCTCCTTGTCTTTTAGGCTACCCTCAAGCCCTGTTCATTTTCAGCCATCAAAGAATGCCTCTTGCTACGGACCTCAGGTTTCTCTCATGCCAGAGTAGTCCTCCCTCCCTACCATTCCCCCCAACCCAAAGCTGTTAATAATGCATTCCCAAGTGTTCCATTAGGTGCACTTAAACTGTTACAGGGAAAATGGCAATTTCTGATTTGTGGTAACCCAGCAACAGTTTCTTAGCACTGGTGCCCTTGATCAGCATCTGCTTTCCCAGGGGTAGTCCCAGGGCACTCATGAGGTTTTAGTGGGCTGTCCTCTTCATGCTCCTTCCCTCTACCTGTACTTCTCACCCTATGCTTTATGAATTGCTCACCTGACTTTCCCCCTCTTAGCCCTGTTGGGAGTGGGGAAGGAGAATACTGCTTTAAATGAGGAGAGGAAGCCAACAACTAGAGCTAGTTAACCAGAAATATTGACCTACTTCCCCACACCACCTCCCACTCCTGCCTTTTAGGGTAAATGTGCAAGTTACTATGGCAACTCAGGCCTACGGACTTGTTTCTGTTGGTGCTGAATGCTGAAGAAGTTCTAATTCACTGCTGATTCATTTGCCTAAACCCATTGCTGTTATCTGGATCATTTTGAGCAATGAAAAGACAAGTCCTAGTGTTGATAGTATTTTTGTACAATCATTTTTACAATCATAGATTGATGATTAATGTAAGGAAGCATGTTCTTTACAGAACGCGAACAAGCCATTTAAAATGTATCTGGGGCCTCCCCAGTGGTGCAGCGGTTGAGCGCTGGGTTGCAAAGCTGCCCGCAGCCTCTGCAGCGCCGGTTCGATCCCCAGCCGCCAGGCGAGGGTCCCACATGGCGCGCAGACCTTTCCTGCCGCCCGCTGCTCCCCTCAGCAGTGTACTTCGGTCCTTCTGCCTGTTCTGCTCCCTGCTCTGGCTCTGGTGAATTCTCTCACCCTTCTGCGCTTCTGACTATACCCAGTGCTTGTATAAATAAGTAAATAAATATTTTTTTAAAAAAAAGATTTCCTTTAAAATGTATCTGTCCCAGCTTCTCTAATTGCTTGAGGTATTATTTTAGCTTTCCTTTGTTTTCAGCAGTTTTGTTATTGTTAAAAAGGGAAAATAATATGACTCTAGTAAGTTGTCCATCTTTATGAGTATTACCCAGAAACTGGTTTAAAAAATTTATCCCCCTCCATCCAAAATATTCCTTTAAGCCTGGGGTTTTCTTGTCTGGGGAGTAATAGCTTGAAAGCTTTTTGGAGAACAGATGGAGGGAAGGGGGTCAAATTAATTAGGTAACCTTGTTAGTGTCAGAGCTGGGGGTCTCCTGACACTGCTCTACTTACTTCATAGATTTTCAGACTAGTTCTAGATAGATTAGGGATTTCATGTGCATCCCCCAGGGGATGACAGTTGGGGACAGATGTCAGGTTGGTACTTCAGGCCTCACTTACTTTAGCCAGAAATCATCTGTTTTTATTAATATCATGAATTGATTTCATTTGTTTAAAGCATTCTGCTATTAAGAAATGGTTGGAAAACTTAAAATATACCAGTCTGTTTGTTATACATTCTGCTAAGAAACAGATATGATAATTAGGCAGCTGAACTTTGAGCAAAACCAAAGCTAAGAAGCTGCTTCTTCATTACTTTTCTTATTGTGATTTTCATTGTAGCAATACCAAACAAATATGATACCATTTTCTATCCCTTAGGATGATTAGTTCATGGGAGAGAAAAACATGAAATGTTGATACAGAATTTTATATGAGTAAATGCTGATGTATGAAACATAGGGACCAGAATGTTGTTCAGTTAGGGAATGCAGAACAGGAAGATGTTCAGACTGGGCTAGTTTGACGTGACTTCCTGGAGGAGGGATTTTCAGTGTCTGACCGGTGTTCAGTAAAGATTTGTTGAATGTTAAAAGGAATGATGTAGGACTTGTACTAAGATGCAACATTGTGGGCCTCCCCTGGTGGCGCAGGCGGTTGAGCGCTGCACTGTGAAGCTGTCCGCAGCCTCTGCAGCGCTGGTTGGATCACAGCAGGACTGCGAGGGTCCCACATGGCGCTGCAGACCTCTCCTGCCTCGCCTGCTGCTCTCTTCAGCAGTGTATTTTGTCAGTCTGCCTGTTCTATTCCCTGTTCTGTCTCTGGTGAACCCTCTCACCCTCCCGTGCATCTGGCCTGTACCCCAGTTCTTGTATAAATAAATAAATCTTAAAAAAAAAAAAAGAAGCAACATTGTGAGCTGGACATTAATAGAATTGTGATAGTAATTTAAACCTGACAGTAATCAGTGAAGTAAATAATATTATCCCCACTTTCTAGATGAAGAAACTGGAGGCTCTAAAAAGGATGGATCCCAGATTAGTCTGATTTCACAACCTGAGCTATTAGTCACTCTGATACTCTGTTATCCAAAATACCCCCTTATATTCCAGCCTGGCCATGTAATAATCTACTCACGTGGGCCCTCATCATCTTGAGTATAGGCCGTGCCAAATGCCTGTCAAGTAAGAGTCACTTGGACTCATCCTAAGCTCACCATTCTGCTCAAAAACTCCTGAGTGACTATTTACTGCCATCATAAAGTATAACTCCTCATTTGGCTCCTTGGGCTTCCCAGATCTGTCCTTAGGTTTACTTTCCACCTAATCACTCCCTGCTTTCCTGACCATACTGTCTTATACCATATTAGTTTCCACAGACTTTTCATGATGCCAAAGTCATAGCTGACTTTGTACTATCTTTGCTTACAGCCCTTTGGTCTTTCCCGTGGACTTCCTTCCACAGCAGTCCAACTCAATTCCAACTTCGACATAAAGCACTTCTAATCATTCAGCCCATAAAAACCTTTCACTTCTTCTGGATTTGTACCTGTCTCTTTCAGTCATTTGTAGTTCTGCATAAACTTCCTTGTGTTGTATTTTGTATTGGTGTTTTGTTAAATGACACAGTGGCTAATACCAAAGCTTACCGCATGTTGTATAGAAAATGCCTTTTGTGATCTGTCACCTATCTAGCTGTATGTAGGTTACTTGACTTTAAGCTTCAATGTTCTCATCTTAAATGGGGAGTAATAATAGTACCTCCCACTTAGGGCTGTTCTGAGGATTAAATGTACTTAATACAGTGCCTGATGTGAATTTAGTGTTCAGTAAATATATA